CGCGGTGTGCTTTGTACGTTGTGTCAGTAATCTTGTCACGTTATGGGGCGATACTGAAGCTACATGGCTGCTTTTAAGTTGAAAGTGATAGATCATGCACTAAACAACGGCAACAGGGCCGCTGGAAGGCTTTTAGGAATCTACGAGTTATGTGTTCACTACTGGTGACGGCAGCTGAAAGCCACTATGAAGGGTTGAGCCTGCCTTGTGGGTATAAAACTGGGATTGATGGTAAACTTTTTTCTTCAGAAGGAAACTGCGGACGATTCTGTTAAATATCCATCAGCCCAATACTGACGTCCTACGCTTACCTTTTGAGTGCTTTCGTTGAGCGAGGAAAGCTACCGCTACGCCAGCAACGGCCACAAGCTTTGCGTATAGTTTTCTAATTCCCGACTAGTTGCTCGCACTTTTTGTGTCTCAAATAAATCTTGCCTTGTGTTGAACCTGTGCTTTTATTGTTGAGGTAAGTTTTTATTAGTACTTCTCAAAGCTTGCTGTGAGTTGCTGGTGTGAGAATCCCTATTTGCGGCAACTTCATTTTCTTTTTCGCTCTGTACATTTTCGTGGAAAGTTGTCCTCGCGCAATTCTCGCACCCCCCAACTTTGCATCGATTTTCCGCCAGAAAAAGTACGAGGATTATGCGAGCAAAATACGGTAGTTTATTTGATTACCCTCACTTGCGGAAGATGTTACATTGGCCAAACAGGCCAATGCATAAATGATAGGTTTCGAAAACATGGTTATTTTCTAAAGGGGTCTGTGAGTAGCCACCTTGCAGACCATTGCAATAAATGTGATTGTGAACCAATCTTGCGAGATACTATGCACTAGGCACAAGATTGCGAGATACTAGGCACCTACGCAGAACAACGCCAATGGGAAATTTTCTAGGCTTTTTGCATCCAGGAAAGCGGAGAGCATTGTGTCAGCGTTGCTTCAATATCACTTCGAAAAAATGAATTGAAGAGTCTCTCGAAAATGTGATTTGGCATTTTTCAGCGATAACCTGTTCCTTGACACTTTCACTGATTGTATTTTCCTGTATATATTGACGTGTAAACGCAATAAGATATGATTGTTAGTCATCGCCGTGTTTGTCTTCTCGTCTCCACCCTGTTCCAGCACTGTTACTTCTTTCTTTTGTAATTTAATACTCTCTAAGTTTACATAATCATTTATACAGAAACAGCAAGCACACAAAGTAAGTTCAAAAAAATAATCAAATGCAGGATCCTATACAGCAGAAGACACACAAAACAGTGAAGGATATTGCACCAATTAGCTGGCTGCAGCATAAAGTTCTAGCAGTGCTCGCACACACTCACTCGCATAGGCATGCGCACGGGAGGCAGAGGAGGAAGGGTGAGGGGGGTACAAAGCCAGCCCCATAAATTGACATGATAGGGAGAGGGCGCTTAGATGAATTTTCGTCCCCCCCCCTGAAGAGGAACCTTACACACGCCTATGTAAGCCCCCCTCCCCCTCCTCCCACACATACACGTTCAAAGCTTGTTACAGTAAAAGCTCGTTAATACCTGCATACACGCCAAGAAATTGGCTAACTGCATACTAAACATAGTATGCAATCATTACTGAGTACCAGTTTCTTACGTGCATTATCACGCTGAAGAAGTATTACAGTGCGACAGCAAAGATTGACTAAAGTGCCCACCACAAAGCTATTTCTTCCTATTTTCTAATTTACAGAAATGATTGGCACTCTCGCACGGCTGTGCGGTGGCATGCAGTGGCGACATGAAGGAGCATTTCAAAACTGCTGCGGAGTCCGAGATATGCAGCTGATGCAGCGACTGACATAGCGACGAAACAAACATAAGCGGCTGTACGAGATAAATGTGTGCCGCGATCTGCTACTTAGCAAAAACAGAGATCCAGCATTTTTGAGACGCGGTACTGGTCAAAGGGAACTGATAGTCTACTGGCTAGTTGCGTGCAGCGCTTCGCCTACTTGGTGTACACACCGTGCCAAGCTGCTTGCACCTACTCCGCTTCACACAGCACACAGACGCGGCGAGAAAGCTATTACGTTACCGCGATGATGTGACCTTTCAGCAAGCGATTCTCTAGCTGCCCTGACGACTGAGGCGCGCTTGGGCTGTCGCCCTATGAAAGCGTGCTGTCTCGGTGCCTGCGATCCACAAAGCTCAACTTTGCAACAGAGAGCTCCTTTCGTTTTTGAAAAGCGGTGCACACTGAACACAGTCCAGTAACATGATCGAGGCGGCAGCGATCAGCGCCCCTGCACACTCAGGTAGTCGCCAGCAATTAAAAGCGCGCAGTAGGCTTAAAGTGGCGCTACACCACACAAGTAGGGTTTTTATCGGCGATGTCATACTGGTGCACTTTTTGGTGGTCGCCACATCGCCTTCATTCTTTGCCAGTGATTACCAGAAAATGCACCGCCGCAATCGGGCAGAAGATGGAATATTTGAACGGGCAATTTCGTGCCCTTGCAGCTGTGCAATTGCCCGCAAATGCAGCAGCGCAAGTGTACAAGATGGCAACAGTCGTGTAATATCTACTCAAATGAATTTTATCAACATTACTTTTGGTTCCTAAACTACTTTCTGGCACAGCTATGGTACAAATCAGACAAAGAAGACCCTTTTGGAGCAGTATGGTGCAGTAATTTCTAGTTTGAACAGGTTGGTGTGATTGGCGCAGGTTTTCCACCACTGGGAGTCTGCCCTTCAAACCTGGAATCTCTTCTGTGGCACATTTTGGGACATGTTTAGGAGCATGGCCCACAGAGAAAGGGCCACTTCTATGCTGGGGACACGGGTACAACTACCCAACAAGAACCTCATAATCTTCATCAAAGAAATGAGCCAGATGTGCTGGTGGCATAAAATTGAAAGAAGCTTTTCTGGATGAAGCTACATGGACAAACGCATGTAAACATTCGACAGTTGTCTGTCTAGTGGGGTATGAGAACAGGGAAATGATTTAAAAAACTCCAACCAAACTCCATCCATGGATAAAGTATGTTTAGGAAGAGTGTCAATGTGTGCTCACCATTCACGTGCTCTTCCATAGACATGAAGCACGTAATACTGGTCTCTACTGCTAGTTTCTCAGATTTGATTACAAAAGTCCAGAAACAGAAGTTACAGAGATTCTAGCGTCACATGTGTATCTACTACTGAACATTGATTTAATTACATGCCGGGTGACTTCTTAAATGAGCTATTGGCAGTATTTCTGGAAAATGTGATGGCCACTGATGCATGCATCGCTAGAATACTTTTTCTCAACCGAATGACCTAGGAGTCCCGAGCCTCAGCGAAGGATGTATTTTTTAGGCTTGTGCGAATATTCGAATGCTTCGAATGTTCAAACGAAAAACACAGTATTCGAATTCGCTTTAAATCCAATTTAAAATGTTGAAAATTTTGAATTATTTGAAACCAACAAACAAGTGCATGATAGTATGTGTCACCCTGTAAAGGTGGTTTCACTGCAGTAAGCCGCATTCACAGTGAGCATTCTGGCCGCCGAAAGTGCTCCGAATCCGGTTCGGCGACGGCGAGATTCGCCAAAAGGGCCCTCTCCGCGCCGATCGCTCTCGGACCGGTTTTTGCGGTGTCTGCCGCCGAATCTGTCATCGCGGACCAATAGGAGCGCTAGTCAAGGAATTTTGAAAAATGGCGGCCAAGCCCTACTCACTTGTTATGCCCCAGTGCTTGTAACTGAATGTTGAAACCAACGGGAGTTTAACCTACTTTGTGCCTACTTCGCGTCCGTATTTCGTGGAAGAGGTGACCGAGCTTGCTGTTGGCGTGACCGAGCTTGTTGCGGTCCTGCAGAGCAAAACGAACCCACCCACGCCGCTGGCGTCGGTGGTTTTTTTCTGCTCATCGTGCATTACAAGACAGCCACTTGCCAGCAAAGTAAGAAGTACTGTCTTTTCTTGCTTCCTGCGTACGAGAATCATCGAAGTATACACCACCGGATATCGTAGTGACGTTTGCGAGCTGTGACAACAACCAAGTGACAGCGCATCCATCCTGCGTTTGCCCGGTGGTAGATTGCATATTCGGCGGCTCGGGGTGCGTCCAGTGCGAACAATGCTGCGTTTCGGCGGCAGGGGTCGCTGTAGAAAGCGGATGTTTCAGTGTGAACTAGGCCGTAGAGCTATGCTAAGCCAAGAAAACATAAATCCAAAAGAAAACCGCACTGCCACGAAGCCTCACTTCAATGTTAAATGAGAATATTACCCTCACATCAATTCATTTCTTAAGTTTAAAAGCTTGGCATACTTACTTATATGCTCTAAGTATACCAAATTTTACAATGTTAACATATTTGAAAGGCTATCGCTTGCATTCAAGGAAAAATCAAATTCTGCTACTATTAAAAGTTGCCGCTTTCTTTGCTTCCAAAAAATTGTATTTGCACTGGCCTTGTCTCAATTTTTTTTTAAATATTGTGCAGGTTTGTTAGGTCAAGACAAATATGCCCATTTTTCTTCATAATATGCCATATATATGCTATTCCAATTTGATTCAAAATTATTCGAGCAAATTCACTATTCGCTTTGAACCTAAAATTCACTATTCGCACAAGCCTAGTATTTTTCGACTTTGAGTCGACTAGCACGATAGAAGTAGCATTCGTATTGGTCATGGCATCATGGATCGCACAGACACACGCAAGAAGCGACGCATACATAAGCAGTGTTTATTCTTGGTCCGTAATTGTGACTCGTGGACCCATGATCAAGCTTCACATGCCAGCAGTTTGACTGCCAGTGATACACAACACTAATCCAGAGACACTGGCACATTTTGAAGCAATTTATGTTGATTTTATCACAGTGGCACAGTAAATTTAATTTGGCACACTTCAGCAGAGGAGTGGAATCACTCTTCATTTTTAGAGCATATTTTGATATTGCAGCGTCTCAAATAGACCAAAATTGCCCAGTGACGCCTCCATTCAAGAAGAGGAACATGACAGCCAAAAAGTACCGCACCGAGCAATGTGAAGCCAAAGACATGGGGCAGCTGGCTGTCAAGCAGCACCTTCCGGTCTGAGCCATCCAAACGGCTGCTCTCAATCCGGTCAGTGCGTGCATCCGCCCAGTACAGCCGATCATCTCGTGCATCCAGCGCCAGTCCGTTAGGCCAGCCAAGGTCAGTGGAGACAAGCACACGGCGCTCGCTCCCATCCAAGGCTGCCCGCTCAATTTTCGCTGGCTGACCCCAGTCGGTCCAGTACATCCACCTGGTCAGAGGTATATACCAGAGCATTTGATTAACTTTGCTCCAGTTGAAAGCGCACTGCGCCTTTGAGGGCCCAGTCCTTCAGTAAAGTCTCCATAAACAGAACATGCAAACACAGGCACAAGAAAGAAGTCATGACACCGACTAACAACTGAAGCAAAGAAATGCTCTAAGCACCTCAACAGTGCTAGACCTCAAGGTTAGGACATTACCCTGCTCGTAAGGTATATTTTGGCCAGCATGGGGTGACAATATCATTTTCTAATAAGGTGAGAAATGTAGGTGATCCACACTCTATATGTGGGACACATTTCTTAGGATATCCGAAAAATAAATCACCCACCTAAGCAAAAGACAAAAGATATGACGGACATCTAAGTGTTAGCATTGTAGTTTTTTTTTTTTTTTCCTCTCTCTCGTCTCCCATTCGTTCTATACACAGAGGGGCCTTATATTTTGTGATGGCAGTCAGTTTCATTTTTAAAGCAAAAGCCTTAGATGCTTCACCAAACATGAAAAGAGATTGTCGGCATCAATGTGAGTGTTCCAAAAAGCATCCTGATATCACGACGTCGCGCTTCAAGGCCTCATTGTGGCGTCACATATCGCCAGAACTTTTTGTCATCATAAAGTCATTGAGACTTCACTGTGACGTCAACGTCAAATAGTCACAATGTCACGAGTTTGACCAAGGCACAGACTGTGTGTTCAAGATTAACGTTTTTGTGGGGAAATGGAAGCTCAACTACAGCGAGCATTGTGTGCTGTACACTCATATCAGCAAACAGAGCATCAGCTGTCAATAAAGCCGATCGGCCAGAACACACGTCAGCATTCATGCATGCAGCGTGAACATTCGAGCGTTGCCGCTGATGGTTAAGTCTGCTCCAGAACAAACTAAGCTGTTTGCATTTGCACAGTCAAGTGGAACAGGTGATCCAAAAACTATCCAGAATGCTTGGAGACATTCTGGCGAGGATTGAACAAAACAGACTTTACACGTGCAATACGCCGACAATAACAACGTAGCAGGGAGCGTTTGTGGCATTGCCCCCTTCTGAGAGGTCTTTCATTGATGCACAACACACGACATCCAGTCACGCACATACAATAGTGAGTTCATAAGGTTCGTCGAGAACCTTGACCATTGCATAGTCGAGCATCCAGAGACGTCGAAGTACCCTGTACAACCAACAGTACCATCAAAGATGCTTTTTAATGAGTCTACATTGGTGTATTGAAGTCTCCACCAAACACAGTCGTTGGGCTGGTGTTACACAAAGCCTCATCAAATATTCCAATGGTGGCTGTTCGTTGTCTGTTGATTCATGCAGAGGTAACTGAGTCGTTGGGCTTTGGCGGTGCCCTATAGATAGACAGTCACATTGAGATTTACTTCATCAGAGACGTAGGGTAACATGGTATCGAGCCTTATTGCTGAGGTCCTCCCATAGACCAACCTTATTGGAGCATCATGCGCATCGTTTCTTGCATGCCCGTGTTGTAAGCAAGGATCCGAAAAAATAAAAGGGATTGACCCCACGTTTTGTGCTCAACGTCAAAGTACATGGACACTATCGACGATGGTCTTATTTAGATGCCCCGTGAGGCCGGTGTAGCGGGTGAGGCAGTCAGTAGCTGCAACAATCTATTTGTCTAAAAAAAAAATTTCATGTTGAGAACAGCCCCAGAAAGTACATGCATATCTACTGGAATGACCAGAGAGGAGGCCGAATGGGCTGCAGAAGTCCAGATGGCCTAATCAGCAGCGACTTCCATCTCTGATAATCTGAGCATGTCTTTACATTGACGTCCAGAGTGAGGCAGGGTCAGTAGGGCGATTTCACATAACATCGAACAAAGCCATGGCCGGTCGACCTACTAAATTTATTTCAAAATTTTAGATATGATTGCCTGATGAATGGAAAGAAGAGATCCACAATTAATTGTATCACAAAATTTTTTTAGCATCACAGTAGATCAATAATAACAAAGAGGTGGTGTGCCACGCTTACCTGCTGTGCCGGTCTTTTTTTTTTTTTTTTGCCTTTGGTGATGAATTACTCAATACTCAATATATACTAAAGCTACGTAACTGTAATTACTTTAGCTAAACATATGCGTATTTGCACTTACCGTAATTACTCGAATCTAACGCGCACCTTTTTTCCGGTTAAGCGAGTTCATAAATTGCATGCGCGTTAGAATCGAGTACGAACAAAAAAATTACGGTCAATCTATTGCCATCGGCAAGTCCAAAATGGCCGCCCCCTACGTGCGTCGGCATGGCGCATCCGCCATTTCTGCCTATGTGTTTCCCATGTGCGGCACTTCGTACGTGTGCTGAGGAGTTCGTCATCTAGTAGTGCATTAGCATCGACGGCGTGGAAGGGCCGACTCCAAAAACTCCAGTGCACCATGATGCCGCTTTTAAAAGAAAACTCATGGCGTGTGCAGAGACGGATGGAAATCGGGCCGCATCGCGGTCGTTCGGAGTTCCCGAAACGTGCGTGCGGGACCGGCGGAAACAAAAGCAGAAGATTGTCGACAGCAAAGCTTCACTCAAAGGTTTCAGTGGACCACAGCAGGGTCGGTTTCCGCAAATTAAAGAGCTGCTCGGCGAGTATGTGCTTGAGCAGCGAGCGGCACAGCGGCCCGTGACGACAGAACTGCTCCAAGTGCGGGCTATGCAATTAGTCTTAGAAAAAGGTCTAATGCGGAGCCAGTTTAAAGCGAGCAGGTGCTGGCTAACTAACTTTATGAAGAGGAAAGGCTTTTCCCTCCGAAGGAGAACATGCATTATGCGAAAAGTTTTGTGGAGGAGTACGATGAAAAGCTTCACAGTTTTCAGAGGTTCGTCCTAAACTTGCGGCGCAACAACGGCTACCTGCTTGGGCAAATCGGGAATGCTGATCAGACGCCTCTTTACTTCGACATGCCTGGCACCACAACCGCGAGAAGAAGGGGGCGAAGCAAGTTCGCGTGCTGACATCGGTCCACGGTAAAACTACAGTGACGGCAATGCTCTGTTACACGTCAGATGGGCACAAGCTTCGCCCGTACCTCATATTTAAATGGAAGACGCTCCCGAAAGGAGTTGTTTTTTCGAGTGGTGTGATCGTGCGGGCCAGCGAGAAAAATGGGTGCGCGTTGCAATCGATGTCTTACGTTTTTTTTTTTTTTCGCGGTGGAAATCGGGTGCGCATTACAATCGAGGGCGCGGTAGAATCGAGTAAATACGGCATGCTCAATTATTTTTCACTTCTCTGGGTAGCATACATGTTTTTATAAGGAATTTCAAAATGCACTCAGAAGATGTTGTTTTGCCTACTTTGCAAGTCTTTATTTCAAAAATGGCTTACGACAGAGCGGTGAAAATTTCACATTGCTTTCTCACAATGCTTATTTCTTGACTGCCAAAGTTTATAATAACATTTTTCAATGAAAAGAAGCATCAGGGTAACTTCAAGAAAACAGCATGCAATAGAAATTTCAGACAACCAATTAAAAAAAAAGAAAACGTTTTTGTTATTTCTTGAACTTTCCCCACTTATTCTCTTGCGCATCAGCTTTCACAACAAATAAAAACCTGTTGCAAAATGTGGTTTTGCTTGAAGTTAAAACCCGTCCAATAATGCCCTTGCGCAAGGATAGAGAATTGTAAATCGGCTTTTGTGTTCGCTAACTGTGGAATGCAAGCCTATACTTTAATTTGTTAAAATGCAAGCAGCACTGAAATAGGTGTCCGCTGCACTAAAGATGCCAATTTCAAAATGATTCGCGCATGGCTTGCCGTTTTCTGGAGAGACTCCTCTCCAGACCCAAGAAACGCTTGTCGCTTTCTTGGGGGCCTTGTCTTTCAACTTGAGGAGCCATGACGAACACAGCTTGATCGTGTCGGGAGCAATTTAGCCGGCATCACTCCCTGCGCACCGCCCAGTTCTTTGTGGGTGACGTACCACCCCAGGGCCAGAGTCCAAAGCTACGAGTGGTGAGGACAAACCTTATCATTCTCTCTCTCGTGTGCTTCACATTTGGTACCCTTTTTCTACGTGGTCGTGCGGAACTGATCCGGCGCTTTGTACTCTTATTGTATTTGTTGTGTTACTGGTGCTTGATGCTTGAACAGTGTCAAGCATAAGCTAGTCTCTGCTACCACTGGCCTCAAACCAGCCATTATTGCAGCTCACTGCGAACCACGGGTTAGGGGTCCAGCTCTGACTGATAGGGCTGCTACGGAGTGCTTGTAACGAGTGACTAACGCACCGCCCGCGTGTGATGCGATTCAAAGAAGGGACTGCTTCGCATGCGCGGACCTGTTTGTTACAAAGTAACCCCTACAGGTTCAAGGAAAATAAATATAAAACACATTAGTAATCTGAGTTCTTATATTTTTGAACATTACACTATTCCAATCACAAGCTAGCAGCTATCTGCCATCATTTCTGGCCTGGAAGCTCTCGTGAGCACCACTACATGCTCATGCAGTCAGCAGCAATGCAGTGGCACCATCGTGTGATTAAAACACTAAATTAATTGATATCGACGCTTACACCTATGCTAAAATTATCTTCAGCGGTCACTTTCTGAAATATCCAAATATAGTATAGGTGCTTCAAAAGTGTTGGTTTCCAACAAGTCCTCACTGTTCTACTGCGGTGTGTCAATGGGGGCGTGGAACAGGCAGTTGGCATCACAGTGATTTAGTTTGGACTTACGCGGGCGCCGTATTCGTTTTTCTCAGAGACCAACGAGAAGCTCTGCCCTCTGGTCTGGGACCGCTCGAATGCAATGTTCGTTTTTGGAGTGTTTGGAGGCCTACGAGCAGCCAGGGACTGTCCGAACGATTTCTTTCTGGCACCTGGCAGATGACGGTGTGGCGCGTATGGAGGTGTGGCCCTCTTAAAATAGACAATGAAAATTTTCGGCGTTCTCTTGCTCTCTTGTTGTTTTTGCATGGGCTTCTCGCACACTTTCAGATTTTGCTTTTTTTTTTAAGCA